AGCTCTTCAGCTCAAGATGAGCACTCTACCACTTGAGCCACAGCACCACTTCCGATTTCCTGGTGGTTCATTGGAGATCAGAGTCTCACAGACTTTCCTGCTCGGACTGGCTTTGAACCAGGATCCTCAGATCTCAGCCTCCTGAGTAGCTAGGATTATAGGTGTGAGCCACCAGCACCTTGCCTGCCTGCCTGCCTGCTTTCCTTCCTTCCTTCCTTCCTCCCTCCCTCCCTCCCTCCCTTCCTCCCTCCCTTCCTTCTTTCTTTGTCGGTCATGGGGCTTGAACTCTGGGCCTGGGTGTTGTCCCTCAGCTCCTTAGGTCAAGGCTAGCACTCTACCACTTGAGCCACAGCACCACTTCCAGCTTTTTCTGTGTATGTGGTGCTGAAGAATCTAACCCAGGGCTTCATTCATGCTAGGCAAGCACTCTACCATTGAGCTGCCTTCCCAGCCCCCTAACCTTGAAGTTTCTCAAGGGGACAAACAATCACTGGGTTCATTCTAAAGAAGGCAAAGAGTTGGGCACCAGTGGCTCATGCTGGTATTCCTAACTACTCAGGAGGCTAGTATCTGGGGATCACAGTTCAAAGCCAGCCTGAGACTCTTCTCTTCAATGAACCACCAGAAAACCCAGAAGTGGTGCTGTGGCTCAAGTGGTAGAGCACTCGCCTTGAGCAAAAGAAGCTCAGAGACAGCGCTCAGGCCCACAGCTCAAGCCCCACAACCGACCAAAAAACAAATACTCGGGAGTCCTTCAGTTAGGCAGCTATTTGTGGTGGGATGATTTGGGGGTTCTTAGGACCTCCTACCATTTTGTCTCATTTGCTTTCTTTTCTTTTTTAAGAGATGTCTAAGAGTCAGTTTGGACAGGGGAAGAAAACTGTTGACATGTTCTTCTGGGTCAATGAGGTCACTGGAGAAATCACCTACCCGCCATGGAAGGCAGACACCGTGTGTCCCTCACCTGTGAAGCCTCAGGAGCGATCAGCATCCCGGCCTGCCACCCCTGATCCCAGACTGCCCTTACCCTGCGCTCCCAAGACACCACTGAAGGACCTGGGTTCCAGAAACTTCCCTCTGTCCACACCAGCTCCACCACCACGCAAGACCAAAAATGTAGTAAGGCAATCTCCTCCATTCTCAGCCATGCCTGGCACCCCCTCGCCAGCAGGGGGCACTGTGCCAGCGGCACGCCATCATCTTCCTCAGGTCCTTCCAACCCTCCTTCCAGAAGGTCCTTCCCCTAAAAGCTGAAAAGCAACATTCTCCCAAGAATCCAGTTTTCTTCGGCATCCTCCTTGTCTCTTATTTTCCCAGAGCCATTTTGCATTTTTCTTATCCATCATGGATCCAGGTAGACATTTGGCACCGGATGCTTTCAACCCTAATTAAATGTTGCTTAGATTTTGAGACATCTTTTTGCTGTTAATGATGGTCGTGGGGTTTGAACTCAGGGCCTGGGCACTGTCTCCGAGCTTTCTTGCTTGAGGCTAGTGCTCTATCCCTTTGAGCCACAGCTCTACTTTTTTGGTTTTCTGGTGGTTCATGGGAGATAAAGAGTCTTAGGGACTTTCCGGCCTTGTCTGGCTTTGAACCACAATCCTCAGATCTCAGCCTCCCAAGTAGCAGGGATTATAGGCATGAGCCACCAGCACCTGTTTTGTTTTACCCTTAGGATACTTCATTAAGAGTTGTTTGGGAATCAGTCCAGCGTCTGCTGGTCAGCTCGAGTTCTTAGCTCTAATCAGAGCCATGATCGTGACTTTCCCAAAAGAGGAGAGGGTGGAGTGGGGGTGGGGGAGGGGGGTACATGACTTCACATGAGTCATCTCTGCTTTCCTCAGGGTCCCCAGGAAGGACTGACATCTCTGCTCCCCCCTCCCCCCCCACTGACTTCTCCCATTTGCCTACAGAGTTCTAAATCTCCCTCAGATCCACAGGAGAATAGAAGAGGGAATGTTGCCATGACAATGGAGGCAGAAATTGGAATGCTGTGGCCACAAGTCAAAGGATGCTGGGCAGACACCAGACACTCAGTCTGTTCACACTAGGAGAGCACCAGATGTGTGCAGGTCCCACTCCACTACTGTCCAAGCCAAAAGACCACTCTGTGAACTTCACGTCACAGGCCGGAGTATCAGTTTGCTTTTTTCCCCTTGCGTGTATTCATTTCCTTTAGGTGAAATGAACTAAAACCAACAGACATGGTATTCTTTCCTGGTCCACACACCTGAGACTTTAAGATTCCAAAGGATTTAAAGGTGAGCTGACTTTGGATCAGGACCTGATTCCTCTTTCTCCCACAGGCCTAGTTCTAGGGACAGAAATAGCCAGCCCAGGTTGGCTTTGAACCATGATCCTCCTGATTTTAGCCTCCCAAGTAGCTAGGATTACAGGCATGAGTTACTGTGATTGGCACCTATTTATTTATTTAGTCAGCTGTGGGGCTGGAACTCTAGGCTCAGGCACTGTCCCTGCGCTCTTCAGCGCCACTTCCGGTTTTCTAGTGATTTATTGGCGAGAAGAGTCTCAGGGACTTTCCTGCCTAGTCTGGCTTTGAACGGTGATCCTCAGATCTCAGCCTCCTGAGTAGTGAGGATTACAGGCGTGAGCCACCAGCGCTTAGCTCAATTTATTTATTTTTGTGGCTCCTGAGGCTTGAACTTTGGGCTTGGGCGCTGTCCCTGAGCTACTTTTGCTCAAACTAGTTGAGCCACAGAGCCACTTCTGGCTTTTTTTTGTGATTTAATTGCAGATAAGAGTCTCATAGACTTTCCTGCTCAGGCTGGCTTTGATCCTCAGATCTCAGCTTCCTGAGCTAGGATTAAGATTCGAACCACCACCCGGCTTGCACTGATTTCTTATCATTTCTTATTATTCTGTAGTAGTTGTGAAAGTACTGATAATGAGATAACAAAGGAAAGCAGTTTTCTGGTTAATGTAGGTATTATTTATTATGTAGTGATTGAGACAGAAATCCAATTCAAAACCAATTCAAAAGTCAAGGTTCTATTAGATCATTTTAGAAATGGCACGATCCGAACTTAATTTTCTAGTAAGTTTCCCCGTATAATCTTTGAGGAATTTCTTCCGTTCATCATGTAGCTCTGAAAAAATCTTTACAGGCAAAAATAGGTGTTATATTAGAAAAGAGAATTTTAAGTATATTAAATTAGTGGTTTGCCACAAGTTAAATACACACCAAGTATAAGAATTACAAAGTAATGCTTCTTTGGAACACACATTTGAATTAGAACTTTTAAAGCAACAGATGATATTTTTCATACATTCAAAATAAACGCCAAGAACTGATTTTACATTTTGGATCAGTATGATACATTCTATAGGGGGGCCCCTCCTAGTCACCCCTCTTCGCCCCAAAAAAGTCAGTGTCTCAAAGCCAGGATTCATCTTGTCCTCTTGAGAAACAAGCAGAGATTTTGGGTCTAGTTAAGGAATCAAGAGGGGGATTTGCAGAGACAGACACAGAACCTGGAGAGCTGGTCTCTAGTCCTGATGGGAACAATGTAACTTATTTGAGAATAAACTGTTAATCAATTAATTGATTGATTAATTATTTTTAGTGTTGGCATTGGGGCTTACACTCAGAGCCTGGTTGCTGTCCCTTAGATATTTTTTTGTTCTCTTCAATTGAGCCACAGCCCCAGTTTTGGCGCTTTGGTGGTTCATTAAGAGATAAGAGTCTCATGGACTTTTCTGCCCAGGCTGGCTTTGAACCACAGTACTCAGATGTCAGCCTCCTGAGGAGCTAGAATAACAGGCATGAGCCACCCATACCCAGTTCCTTTCCATCAGAACAAACCTACATAAGAGATTCAAACACATTCCCCTCCCTTGCTTATTTATTTTTATTATTGCAGTGCTAAGGACGGATCTAGGACCTTGTCCCTGCTAACTAAGCCTGTGTTCTGCCACTTAGCTACAATCCCAGCTCCAACAGACAGTGTTTTATGGCATTAAGTTCTCTGGTCACATCATCAGACTGTTTAAGACAACGTCATTAGTCAATTCAGACATTCCATCACTTGCTTTCTCTTAGGCAAAATTTGGTTATTGAATGTTTGCTGCCTGTCAGTCATCTATCTGGGAGGAATGAACTGCCCATCGCCAGCTGCAAAACGTGTATGTGTGAGTGTGTACAAGTGTGTGTGTGTGCGCGCACATGAAATATACTCACAAGGACGCTTGCTGAACTGTGCTCTGCATTCAAGTCCCTCAGAGCTATATTGGAAATGAGAGATTTAGACACAAACTTATCCAGTCCAGGACCCAACACTCACTCCTATAAAAATAGAACTTCAAACTGGGTGCCAGTGGCTCCTACATTATCATCCTAGCTGCTCAGGAGGCTGAGATCTGAGGATCGCTTTTTGAAGCCAGCCTGAGCAGAAGAGTCCCCATGAGACTTTTATCTCCAATGAACCATTCAAAAACTGGATGTGGAGCTATGGCTCAAGTGGTAGGGTGCTAGGCTTGAGCACAAAGAGGCTCTAGGACAGTGCCTAGGCCGAGTTCAAGCCCCACAACTGGGGGAAAAAAAAAAAAAAATATATATATATATATATATGCCTCTTTCACTGTAACAAAAAAATATGTCCTTGACTGTAACATCTGGCCAATGAACACCATAAAACTGGAAGATAAAAGCTTTTTTTTCTCTAATACTGGTATAGGGACTTGAACTCAGGTCTTCATGTTCTGTTTTTTTGTTTGTTTTTGTTAAAGGCTAGCACTTGAGCCACAAAGAGTCTCACCAACTTCCTGCACGGGCTAGCTTCGAACCCTGATAAGTCAACTCTCAGCTTCCTGAGTAGCTAGGATGACAGACAGGAGCCACGAGCACGTGGCTGATCAAAAGCTTTGTAAAACAAGTTTCTCCACAGCAATTCGTTTGTAAGAAAATGTCTACTTGTAAGACAGCAATCAGAAACCGTGTTCTTGTAACAGGTTAACCATATCCTATCAAATTGTGGATTGAAATAAGCTGATGAGTTTTTTTTTCCTATCCCTTAAAAAGAAATAAAGTAATGGCTCTGTTACTTGGTAGGTTCTCCATTTTTCCAGTTCCAAGGAATACACAGGTCTCCATCCTGCATGACAGAATAGAAGTGTGAGATGCAAAGATGCATTCCCTGCAGATACGGCAGAGATTGTTCTAGTAGTCTCTTACAACACTCCACCATTTGTATACTAGAAATGCTGGGTTCCTTGTATAACTTCTCCAGGGAAAATTTCTTGGTGGAGGCCTGAATCAATTCGTGTTCAAGGACTTTTAACCTATGGCACAGGAGAAAAAAAAAGAAAAGCAAAAGGAAATATTGCCATGAGCTACAACTACATAATTGAACATAGAATGTCAACAGTCTTATCTGCTGGACATTGGTGGCTCACGCTTGTCATTCTAGCTACTCAGGAGGCTGAGATCTGAGGATTATGGTTCAAAGCCAGCCCAGGAAGGAAAGTCCCTGAGACTATTTTCTCCAATAAACTATCAAGAAAGCCAAAAGTGGAACTGTGGCTCAAGTGGCTGGTATGCTAGCCTTGAACAGAAGAGCTTAAGGTCAGTCAGTGGCCAGGCCCTGAGTTCAAACGCCAGGACTAGCAGAGGAAAAAGAAAAGGCATTAGTTCAAAAGCTTTGCTTCTGTTTGACATTGTAGCTAGAAATGACTGAAGACAGTAGAAGTTGCAAGTTTCAAAACATCGTTTTTATTTATTTTTTTGTGCTGGTACTGACTGGGGCTTGAACTCGGGCCTGGGCACTGTCCCTGAGCACTCTCACTCAAGGTGGGTGCTCTATCACTTGAGCCATAGTCCCACTACTAGTTTTCTGGTAGTTTACTGGAGATAAGAGTCTCACGGACTTTCCTGCCTGGGCTGGCTGTGAACCAAGATGTCACCCTCCCAAGAAGCTAGGATGACAGGCATAAAGTCAGCAGTCACCAGTCTTTCGTGAGAGAGAGAGACAGACAGACAAAGAAAGATAGAGACAGAGAGGAGAGGAGAGAGAGAGAGAGAGAGAGAGAGAGAGAGAGAGAGAGAGAGAGAGAGAATGTGTGTGTGTGGCCTAGGTGCTGTTCTTGAACTTTTTTTTTTAACTAAAGGCCATTCTACCATTTGAGCCACAGCTCCCTTTCTGCTTTTTGAAGGTTAATTGGAGGTAAGAGATCTCATAGTCTTTCCTGCCCAGACTGACCTCCAACAAAGATTCTCAGATCTCAGCCTCTTGAGTAGCTAGGATTCTATCTATCTATCTATCATATTATATCTATATATATATCTATATATCTCTCTCTCTCTCTATATATATATATATAGATATATATAGATATATATATTTGTCAATCGTTGGGCTTGAACTCTGGGCCTGGGCGCTGTCCCTCAGCTCTTCAGCTCAAGGCTAGCACTCTACCCTTGAGCCACAGCGCCACTTCCAGTTTTCTGGTAGTTCACTGGAGATAAGAATCTCCTGGACTTTCCTGCCAGGCTGGCTTTGAACCACCAAGATCCTCACATCTTAGCCTCCTGAGTAGCTAGACTGACAGGCGTGAGCCACCGACACCTGGCTTACAGTCCCATATTTATGTGTTCTAAATTCCTGAGCCTTTCAAAGTTAGAGTGAATGCTGTGGCTTTGCAGAGGGCATGAGTACTTACTCTTCCTTTTTCTTCATGTTCTCTCTCGCCTGGTGGGCCCTGGTGCAAATAAACCACTGCAGACTCACTAGATCGCAGAATACTGGGATATTAAAATGCCCGAGTTTGTGCAAGCTTGGAGCGTATCTGTCACTTAAAGGAAACATACATTAGGGTGAAAAAAAAAATCACTGACTTTTCTTCCTATTACTGCCATAAAAAAATGCTTTGATATTCTTGGAGTAGCAAGAGAAATCCCCCAGAACATCCAATTTTAAAAACATGAGCCAGTGGCTCATGCTTGGAATCATCACAACTCAGTAAGCTGAGATCTGAGGACCAAGGTTCGAAGCCAGCCTGGGCACGAAAGTCCAGGAGAGTCTTATCTCCCAGGAACCAGCAAAAAGCTGGAAGTGGGGCTGTGGGCTCAAGTGGTACAGCACTAGCCTTGAGCAAAACAACAACAACAACACAACCCTCCCCCCCCCAAAGAAACAACAGCAAAAGCCCCAGGACTAGTGCACACACGCACGCATGCACGTGCACATGTGCGTGCACACACACAGACACACACACACGTTAATTTAAAAAAAATTGTAAGATCTCCATGCTGGATACGACACAATTCAATGAACTCCATTAGAGGGGGAAATGACATGGTCCTGTTTTAGATATTTACCTGTTAAGAATCATTTCTAAGCCACGGAGACTTTGCGGATGGAAAGAGATTCTAGTTTTCAACAGTCTATTGTAAAACACATCAAGGAGAGAATAATATTCTTCCAGGGTTAATACTGGCTGGAATTCTTCAATATAAATGACTTGAATACCGCCTAGAAGAGAGCTTATTTGGTCTTCTAAAATCATTAGCTTTCTTTGAAGGTCAAAGTAACTTGGTAATCTTTCAAAGAGCTACAGTATTAAGACCAAAAAGAAAAAAAAAGAGACATATTTAGTTTTATGTTACTAAAAGAATGCAACTTTAGGTTTTCCTAAAGAGAACTGAAGAAAACTGAAGGAGAAAACACAGGAGAAACATTTAATATGATGTTTGTAATATGAATATTCAAAACATACCAGTGTGCATCTAGAGATTTTTTTTTTTTTGGTCAGTCCTAGGCTTGAACTCAGGGTCTGGGCACTGTCCTTGAGCTTTTTTTCTGCTTAAAGCTAGCACTCTACCACTAGCATTCTCCATCAGTGGAGCTTTTTTTAGTGATTAATTAGAGATAAGAGTCTCTTCTCAGATTCTTGGCTGGCTTCAAACTGCAATCTTAACATCTGAGTCTCTGTCTAGAGTAGCTAGGATGATAGGTGTGAGCCACAGGTGTCTGGCTTATATATGATATGTAATGTACTAAGAGGAAAATCAGAAAAGTTAGGGACTAGAAAAGTAGGGAGTAGCCTTAGTTTTCATAAAAAGTCACAAAGTAGATTATAAACAATTTGTATGCTTTTTATGTGTATATATATATATATATTTTTTTTTTTTTTGTCGGTCGTGGGGCTTGAACTCTGGGCCTGGGTGCTGTTCATCAGCTCTTCAGCTCAAGGCTAGCGCTCTACCACTTGAACCACAGCGACACTTCCAGCTTTTTCTGTTTATGTGGTGCTGAAGAATTGAACCCAGAGCCTCATGCATGCGAGGCCAGCACTCTACCACTGAGCCACCTTTCCAGCCCAGATTTTTATATTTCTATTGCATTCATTATAGAACTTTTTTGTGTGTGTGCTGGTCTTGATGGCTGAACTCAGGGTCTGGGTGCTGTCCCTGAGTTTCTTTTGTTCTAGGCTAGTGCTCTACCCGCTTGAGCTAGAGACCTTATTTCCAGCTTTTCTGGGGAGTAGTTTATTGGAGCTGAGTGTCTCATGGACTTTGCTGTCTGGGTTTGAACTGCGATCCTCAGATCTCAGCTGCATGAGTAGCGAGGGTGACAGGTGTCAGCCCCCGCAGCCCAGCAGGTTACATGGTATTAAGAATCTGATTGGCAAAGTGCTGGGGGCTAGGATGTAAACTTTGGTTAGCACAAAGGCAAAACAGAGCAGTATGAGAGGGAAGCCATGTGATTTTTCTTACTTTGGTCCAATGATGATGGACGTCCATGGTTCCTAGCATCACGTGACCCACTGCGCTCATGCCTGAGCGGTCTGTAAATACCAGGGTGCAGCCTGGAGGCAGAACACAAAGCCTTTTGTTATGGCTGGCAGAGAAGCTGAAAGGTCAGTTTTCTGCCTCTGGTTTGTGTTTATTTATTTTTTGATGCGGATACTGGGGCTTGAACTTAAAAAAGAGTCTGGCATGTCTCTTTGGCTTGTCATTCCAGGCTAACATTCTACCACTGGGGTGCCACCGGTCTCCTTCCAGCATTTTTTGGGAGATTGAGAGTCTTATGCTGGCCTCCAACTGTGATCCTTAGATCTCAGCCTCCTGAGCAGCTAGGCTGACGGAGTGGTCAGGTACCAGTGTCTTGGTCTAAATGACACTTTGAAGAGTGTGGAAAACGGTTACCTTTTGCTTTCTGCAGGGTTTCCAAGTTCTGCTGGGCCAGGCGGCCTAGGCTATGCAGCTGGCTACAGCGATGGGCGATTCCCCAGCCTCTCTGCCATCTATGCCAACAAACATAGGTGCGTTAGGAGCAGTATCCCCATGGGATGATGGCGGTTCTCGCTCTCACTGCTAGACTCCTGACATAGCCTGTGCCTTTCTGTCACACTCCACTTTTTGAGGGGAGGGTACTTTTTTTTTTGGGGGGGGGGGTCAGTCCTGGGGCTTGAAGTCTGGGCTTGGGCGCTGTCCCTCAGCTCTTCGGCTCAAGGCGAGTGCTCTACCACTTGAGCCACGGTGCCACTTCCATTTTTTTGGGGGGGTGGGGTGGGGTGATTCATTGGAGATAAGTATCTCATAGTGTTTCTTGCCTGGGCTGGCTTGGAGCCATGATCCTCAGATCTCAGCCTCCTGAGTAGCTAGGATGACAGGTGTGAGCCACCAGATCTACTAGTGGCCTTTTAAATTCAAACACCTGGGGCTGGGAAGGTGGCTCAGTGGTAGAGTGCTTGCCTTGCATGTCTGAAGCCCTGGGTTCGATTCCTCAGAACCACATACACAAAGGAAGCCAGAAGTAGCGTTTGACTCAAGTGATGAGTGCTAGTCTTGAGCAAAAAGAAGTTCAGGGACAGCACCCAAGCCCTGAGTTTCAAGCCCCAGGACTGGCCAAGAAAAAAAAAATTCAAATATCCATCTTACTGGATGTAATATAATTAGTGAATGTGTATTTGTGTGTATGTATGTATGTGTGTGTGTGTATATATACACACATTCATACACATATACATAATATATTAAACATGTTAAATATTACAATTTGTTTAAAGATTTAATATATAAGTTTAATAAATATATTAAGCATATATAAATTAAATATATTAAATATAATTATATATCTATAAATGCTAGGTATATATGGAAAAGGGTTAGGCTTTGGTTGTAGGTAATTTATGTGTATTTTAATCTATACATCGGGTTCTCTTTCCTTTTTTTTTTTCAGTTGTGGGGCTTGAACTCAGGGCCTGGGCACTGTCCCTGTACTCATTTGTTCAAGGCTAGCGCTCTACCACTTTGAGCCACAGCTCCACTTCCATTTTTTTTTTTTTTTTTGGTGGTTCATTGGAGATCAGAGTCTCACAAACTTTCCTGCTCGGCCTGGCTTTGAACAGCAATCCTTAGATGTCAGCCTCCTGACAGGTGTGAGCCACCTGTACCTGGTTAGGTTCTCTTCTTTATTACCTGATATCTGACAATTCCAACAAGTGACAGAGTTCGTCTTTTAAACGATCTAGTTCTTTCCTGAGTGGCAAACTATTGTTCAGCTTCTTAATGGCACTTTTTCCATTGTTATCTAGCCAGGATCTAGAAAGAAAAAACAAACAGAGATACAGACTTTGCAGTGGTAACTATGGTGTAACATTTCTCCTGTTAGAAGACCTTCATGAATCCCAGACCTCAGGGGGCTGAGATCTGAGGATCGTGGTTCAAAGACAGCCTGGATGGCTGGGAAGGTGGCTCAGTGGTAAAGCGCTTGCCTTGCATGCATGAGGCCCTGGGTTTGATTCTTCAGCACCACATAAGCAGAAAAAGCCAGAAGTGGTGCTGTGGCTCAAGTGGTAGAGAGCTAGCCTTGAGCTGAAGAGCTGAGGGACAGCACCCAGGCCCAGAGTTCAGGCCCACAACTGACAAAACCCCCCCCCAAAAAACCCAAAGATAGTCTGGACAAGAAAGTCTGTGAGACTCTTCTCTCCAATTAACCAGTAAACAAGCTGGAACTGGAGCTGTGGTCCAAGTGGTAGAGACCAGCCTTGAAAAGAAAAGCCTAGGGCAAGCATCCAGCTCCAGCTCCAGCATTGGTGTGTGTGAGTACATGCACACATGCGCACGCACACACTCATTTTTTTGTTGTTGGTGTTGTTGGTCATGGGGCTTGAACTCTGGGCCTGAGGGCTGTCCCTTAGCTCTTCAGCTCAAGGCGAGCGCTCTACCACTTGAGCCACAGCGCCACTTCTGGTTTTCTGTTGGTTTATTAGAGGTAAGAGTTTCACAGCCTTTCCTGCCTGGCTTTGAACCGCGATCCTCAGATCTCAGCCTCCTGAGTAGCTAGGATGACAGGCGTGAGCCACTGGAGCCTGGTTCACATGTTCTCTTATAGCAGCTAGCAGCTGTAAAGTTAAGCTGAGTTCTCAAACTTTGGACATTTTTACTTGGTTGTGGAGCTTGAACTCAGGGCCTGGGCTCTTGTGTTCAAGGCTAGTGCTGTACTACTCTGAGCCACAGCTCCAGTTCCAGTTTTCAGGTGGTTCTCTGGAGACAAGAGTCTCACAGGGCTGGATGTGAACCATGATTTTCAGGTCTCAGCCTCCTGAGTAGCTAGGATGACAGGTGTGAGCCACCAGCACCTGCCTGATTATAGCAACTTTAAATGAAACAGTTTTTTTTCCCCCTCTCCATAATGGTTACTGGAGTGATGAAATTAACTAGGGTGACTTTTCCTGCAAATTAAGCTTTGGTTTTCAAAAATGACGCTGTGTACATACGTGAGGGTTGTTTCCATTCTGGAGACTTGATCGAAGTCTTCATCCGGGTCCTTGAATCCAGTGAAGGAGTAATACGACTTGTCCCATTTGATGGGCCTGTTGGGAGTCCTTTTGCCTTCTCTGATAGGCTGAGAGTATACATTTGTGTTGGAGCTTTGGATATGTTTGGCAGATAAATTGCAGGAGTTGAGAATATATAATACGGTGCTCAGCAGATCTCTGGTATGCAAGGTAAACTGGACGGCTCGAAACCCTAGAATAGAATTCCCCGCCCCGGGCAAACAATTAATATAGATGGTTATTTGCTTTGCTTTACCAAGAATTTTCTTTCTTTTTGATTGCTGGTCCTGACGCTTGAACTCTAGGCCTTTTGTGTTCAAGGCTGGCTTTTTCTGTGATTAATTGGCAATAAGAGTCTCATGGACTTTTCTGCCCAGGCTGGCTTTGAACCATAACTCTCAGATCTCAGCCTTCTGAGTAGCTAGGATTACAAGAGTAAGCCACCGTTGCTAAGGATTTTCTTTCCATGCAATATTTATAGAGTCAGCCTTTTTTTTTGGTAGCATCTCAGGTCTGGATGTTGTCCCTCAACTTTTTTTTTGGTTGGTCGCAGGGCTTGAACTCTGGGCTTGGCGCTGTCCCTGCGCTCTACCACTTGAGCCATAGTGCCACTTCCAATTTTCTAGTGGTTTATTGGAGATAAGAGTCTCATGGACTTTCCTGCCTGGGCTGGCTTTGAACCGTGATCCTCAGATCTCAGCCTCCTGAGTAGCTAGGATTACAGGCATAAGCCACCAGCGCCCAGCTGAACCTCAGCTTTTATGCTCAAAGCTAACACTCTACCGACCCCTCCCCCCCCACTTTCCCAGCCCTCCAAAGGCATTCTGTAAGGAATTCATTGCACACAGGGCTGGCAAGAGACACATAGTAGAAACTGAAAAATGTACCGGAAGTACTGAAGGCTTCTGGGCTATCAGATGGGTTCTGGTCTGTTTCTCTTACATAAAAGGTAAGCTGAGTTGGTTTCAAAGACTTGAAGCCTGGTTTCTGGAGGTTTTCTAAGTAGACACTTAATCTCTTCAGAGAATTTTCATTGACTTCCTGGAAAAAAATACATATAATAGGGTGTTTAAATACAAAATAAAGAAATTATATTTGGCAAGCCAGGCGCTGGTGGTGCACACCTGTAATCCTAGCTACTCAGGATACTGAGATCTGAGGATCTTGGTTCAAAGTCAGCAGGGGCAGAAAAGTCTGGGAGACTCTTATCTCCTATTAAGCACCAATTAAGCTGGAAATAACCTGAGACTCAATGGGGGTGAGTGCTAGCCTTGAGCAAAAAATGCTCAGGGACAGGGCCTAGGCCCTGAGGACTGCAGCACACACACACACACAAGTTATATTTGCTTGCCTAGCATGCATGAAGCCCTGGGTTCCATTCCTCAGCACCATATACACAGAAAAAACTGGAAGTGGCACTGTGGCTCAAGTGGTAGAGCGCTAGTGTTGAGCCAAAGAAGCTTAGGGACAGTGCCCAGGCCGAGTTCAAGCCCCAGGACTGGAGAAAAAAAATTATTATTATAAGGCTGATATACAGAGTGGTTGTAGTTATGTAAGTCAGATAATGAGTACATTTCTTTTTGGACAATGTTACCGTTTTCCCTCTCTTGCTCTCTCCCAGTTTTTCCCTCCTGTCTCCACCCACAAATTGTATCGTGCATTTTTCATAGTCTAGTGAGTTCCACTGCATTTGTTCACCCTTTATCTTTTGTTCTGTGTGTGTATGTGTGAGAGAGAAAGAGAGAGAGAGAGAGAGAGCACACAAGCTTTGTGTTTGAACTCAGGGCCTGAGCTCTGTTACTGAGCATTTTTCTTTTTCTTTCTTTTTGGCCAGTCCTGGGGCTTGAACTCAGGGCTTGGGCACCGTCCCTGAGCTTCTTTTTGCTCAAGGTTAGTGTTCTACCACTTGAGCTACAGCACCATTCCCAGCTTTTTCTGAATAGTTTATTGGAGATAAGAGTCTCCCTGACTTTCCGGCTTCAGCTGGCTTCCTTCCAACTGTGATCCTTAGATCTCAGCCTCCTGAAAATTTAAGACTACAGGTGTGAACCATGAGTGATGGGCTGTGCTAGTTATTAATTTAAAGTCTTACTAGTTGTTTTTTTTTGGGGGGGGTGTTCCGTCGTGGGGCCTGAACTCTGGGCCTGGGCACTGTCCCTCAGCTCTTCAGCTCAAGGCTAGTGCTCTACCACTTGAGCCACAGTGCCACTTCTGGCTTTTTTCTTTTTTGCTTATGTGGTGCTGAGGAATCGAACCCAGGGCCTCATGCATGCAAGGCAAGTGCTCTACCACTGAGCCACCTTCCCAGCCCTCTTACTAGTTTTCAAGTTAGTACTTTCTAGATTTACTAGGTAAGCACTCATCACATGGGGCACATCCCAGCCCTTTGGAACACGAACTAAACAGAAATGTAGACAACAAAGTTCGTTTTTTTAATTAAAAAAATTTTTTTTAAAATGTTTTACCCTTTCTCTGGGGTGTTTTCCAAAGAAATCTGGATGGACTGCAAAATAGAAAGGTCTCAGGGCATTGATTGCTTCAGCTCCAGATAAAGCTCTTGAGTAATGAAACCAGTGCGGAAGTATCCTTTCTACTGAGAACCTGTCAAAAACACGTGGTTCGGTTATTTTCTCAGCATAGCTACACATCCCTCACATAGGAAATGACGTTCAAGTTAAAAGTACTATGCATAGGGTGTCTGTGGCTCATGCCTGTCATTCTAGCTACTCACGAGGCTGACCTCTGAGGATCACAGTTCAAAGCCAGCCTGGGCAGCAAAGTCTGAGAGACTCTTACCTCCAAAGAACCACCAGAAAACTGGAAGTGGAGCTGTGGCTCAAGTGGTAGAGTGTTAGCCTTGAGCGAAAAGGTTAAGGGTCAGTGCCTAGGCCCTGAGTTCAAGCCCCAAAAGCACACACACCCACAAATACTGGGAGTTTTTAAAATCTAGCAGTGGTTATTAATTACCCTGATGCAATATGAGCAATACTAGAAGACAAAATTTCCCCTCATGGTCCACTTTGTATTACTAACTTGTTTCACTACAAATGATGACCATTTTCTTTATAAATTCTTTGGGACAAGAAAAGTCTATTTTTGTTGGGCGCTGGTGGCTCACACTTGTAATCTAGCTACTCACGAGGGTAGTATCTGAGGATCATGGTTCAAAGCCAGCCCAGGCAGGAAAGCCCATGAGAGTCTTATCTCTCACAAACCTTTAGAAAATCAGAAGTGGAGCTGTAGCTCAAAGCGGTAGAGCACTATCCTTCAGTGAAAAGAGCTCAGAGACAGTGCCCAGGCTCTGAGTTCAATCCCTATTGCTGACCCAAAAAAAAAAAAAAAAAGTCTGTTTTGCTTTCCTCTATATTCAGTAGTGAAAAAAAATTTTGTTTTGAAATGGTGTCTTGGGTATCTTGTTTATGCAATCCAGGCTGGCCTTCAATTCTCCTGCCTCCGTCCCCTGAGTGCTTGGATTATAGGTGTGTACCACCCATGCCTGCCTGTAGTGGAAAGTATCTTGATAATCATAATATATAAGAAGGGCTGGGGGCTGGGAAGGTGGCTCAGTGGCAGAGTGCTTGCCTTGTATGCTCGAGGCCCTGGGTTCGATTCCTCAGCACCACATAAGCAAAAAGAAAAAAGCTGGAAGTGGCGCTGTGGCTCAAGTGGTAGAGCGCTAGCCTTGAGCTGAAGAGCTGAGGGACAGCGCCCAGGCCCAGAGTTCAGGCCCCACGACTGGATCCAAAAAAAAAAAAAAGAAGAGCTGGAGAACTATAGTTGATTCCTTCATTATTAGCATGACAATGTTCTAGTTAGTACTTGACATTCTCCTTTTTAAATTTTGGTCCAACACCTATGAAATACTATTAAAATTATATTTATCTCCCCCAATGAAACAAAAATGCAGATTTTGTGGTGTGTGTGTGTATACACCAGTCCTGTGGCTTGAACTCGGGGCCTACGTGCTGTCCCTAAATTTTATTTCCACCCCAACAAAGCTAGTGCTCCACCACTTTGAGCCACAACTCCACTTCCAGTTTTCTGAAGGTTCACTGGAGAGAAGAGGCTCATGGATTTTCCTGCCTGAGCTGGCTTCAAACTGCAATCCTCAGATTTCAGCTTCCTTGAATAGCTGAGATTAAAGGTATGAACCTGGTGACATCATTATTATTTTTTCCAGCTCCTAGGCCTTGAACTCAGGGCCTGGGCCCTGTCCCTGAGCTTCTTTTGTTTAAGGCTATAGCACTCTACCACTTGAGCCACAGAGCCACTTCCAGCTTTTTCTGTGTATGTGGTACTGAGGAATCGAACCCAGGGAAGGCTTCCTGCATACTAGGCCAGCACTCTACCACTAAGTCAGGCTCCCAGCCCTACCCCTGTCCCTGCTTTGAGTGGACTCTTAGAAGACCTGGTTGTTCCTATGAATTTTCACTTCGTTTTTCGAAATTCCTGCCTTCTGCTATAATGTAAAACAGCTGTAGAATTTAAAAGCTAACAGTGACTCAATGTATAGTTGAAACCCCCCGTACTCCATATAGATTGTATCATAGTTTACCTTGTCAGAGGCCTCAGGCAAAACATCACTGAATATATGTGTATATCAACTTCCAGGCATCCATCAATTGCCTATAAAATTAAGCAGATACCACAATTAAGCAGTACTCTACATTAAAAAAAAACCACATTAGCATTTATAGTACACCCCCTCCTGGAGTGAAATATTTAGGAATATGATAAAAACATGAGCAAAATGTATGTGGAAAACTACAGAGGTCTGACAGAAGAGATCAAAGAACCAAATAGACATTCCCTTATTCATAGATAGGAAGACTCAATATTGTCAAGATGTCACTTCTTTTCTTCCATACAACCTTAATATTTCATGGTCACTTGGTAGATATCAACAAATGGATTTTTTTTTTTTTTGGTCTGGTCGTGGGGCCTGAACTCTGGGCCTGGGTGCTGTTCCTCAGCTCTTCAGCTCAAGGCTATCATTATTATTTTTTCCAGCTCCTAGGCCTTGAATTCAGGGCCTGGGTACTGTCCCTGAGCTTCTTTTGCTCAAGGCTAGCGCTCTACCACTTGAGCCACAGCACCACTTTGGGCTTTTTTCTTTTTGTTTATGTGGTGCTGAGGAATGGAACCCAGGTGCCTCAGGCATGCAAGGCAAGTGCTCTACCACTGAGTCAACTTCCCAGCCCCAAATGGATTATTTTTTGTGTGCTGGTGGTAGAGTTTGAACTTAGAACCTAGGCACTGTCCCTTAGCTTTTTTTGCTCAAGACTAGTGCTCTGCCACTTGAGCCACAGCTCTACTTCTGACTTTTTGCTTGTTAATTGGATTATAAGTGTTCTTGCAGACTTTCCTGAGCTGGCTTCAAACCATGATCCTCAGATATCTGCGTCCTGAATAGCTAGGATTATAGGAATGAGCTACGAGCACCTGGCTTCAACAGATTTTTAAGTTTCTATGGAGCTACAAAAGATCCAGGCTGGGTACTGGTAGCTCCTGTCTGTGCCACATTCCTAGTTCTTCTTATGAGTTTCAGTTATAGAACATAGATTGTGAAAAAGACAGTGAGCATAGACTTTCTTGAATTAAAAAGAAGGCTAAAGCCAAGAACCAGTAGGTCTGGCCTGTAATTCTAACTACTCAGGAGGCTGAGATCTGAGGATTGTTGTTCAAGGCCAGCCCATACAGCAAAGTCTGTGAGATTCTTATCTCCCATTAAGCACCCCAAAGCCAGAAGTGGAATATGGCTCAAAGTGGTAGAGCACTAGCTGACAAAAACAACAACAAACAAACAAAAAACAATAAAAGAAGGCTAAAGCCAGGTGCCAGTACTCACATCTGTAATCCTAGCTACTCAGGACACTGAGATCTGAGGACTGTGGTTCAAAGCCAGTCTGGGCAGGAAAGTCTGTGAGACTCTTATCTCCAATGACTGAAAGTGGTAGAGTGTTAGCCTTGAGTAAAAAAGCTCAATGACAGGCCTCCAGTTCAAGCCCCAGGACTGGCACCCCCACACACAAAAATTAAATCTGCACTGTCTCAAAGAAAAATGGGGGGGCTGGGAAGGTGGCTCAGTGGTAGAGAGCTTGCCTTGCATGCATGAGGCCCTGGGTTCGATTCCCCAGCACCACATAAGCAAAAAGAAAAAAGCCGGAAGTGGCGCTGTCGCTCAAGTGGTAGAGTGCTAGCCTTGAGCTAAAGAGCTGAGGGACAGCGCCCAGGCCCAGAGTTCAGGCCCCATGACCGGACCCAAAAAAAAAAAAAAAGAAAAGAAAAATGGGGGGTGGGAATATATCTAAATTAGTGATAAATCTAAATGGTAGAGGAGTGTAAGAAAAAATGTTTTCCTTTGCTTAATACTTCTGACAAATCCAGAAATAGTTCTTGACAAGTAGAAGTCCCAAGATTGAGCTTTGGCCTTTTGGCACAATTTTATTTGAAAGTAGCTTATTGGAAACAAACAGAATCTCAGACTACTTTCCTTTAATATGTAACTTTCACTTAGTAATTATCTTACACGGCTAAAAAAGAATGTGTTCCAATCAAAGCAGGTGTTTGTGTGTGTGTCAGGGGAGGTAACTGGGGTTCACACTCAGGATTTGGACGCTGTCAGCCTTTTTGCTCAAGGTTGGCAATCTACCACTTGAACCACAGCTCCACTTTCAGCTTTTTGCTGGCTAATTGGAGATAAGAATCTCCTGGACTTTCCTGTCCCAGCAACTTGATTCTCAGATTTCAGCTTCTCACAGTAGTTGGAATGACAGAATTGCTTTTTTTGGGTCAGTCCTGGGGCTTGAACTCAGGGCCTGGGCACTGTCCCTGAGCTGCTTTTGCTCAAGGCTAGCACTCTACCACTTGAGCCACAGTACCACTTCCGGCTTTTTCTGTCTATGTGGTCCTGAGGAATCGAATCTGGGTCTTCATGCATGCTAGACAAGCTCTCTATCACTGTCACATTCCCCGCCCTGCAATTGCTTTAGGAGGGATATTTGTTAGGGGTGGTGGGTTAAGTGGGGAGGGGGACCAAACCAAAGAAAACCTCCTCCAAAACATCCCCCCCGCAAAAAAAAAAAGAAAACCCAGGCAAGCAAAAGTATCAAAAGCAGAAATCGTATTCAAGAAACTCACACCACTTTTGTTGCTTCCTTTTTTTGTTTTTTGTGTGGGTTTTTTTTTTTTTTTTTTTTTTGGTATATCACTTGTTGGGATTTCAAGTCCTGACAACTTGAGGTCACAGGTCAAAAAAAAGCTTTGGGGAGGGGAAGAAAACAGTCACAGTCAGAAACAATACAACCTTAGAAAGAAATGGTGCTACTCTATAAAGGGTTCAAGGCCAGCTAGGAGAGGTTCGTGGGAGACTCCCAAACCGCTGGCCTGGTTGTCTCCCAAACTCAAGCCAATTCAAGAGGCCAAGGTGGCTCTGAAGGTTGGGTGAGGGGGGTGGGGTTGGGGGTGAAGGGGGGGGTACACCCCTCAAACCGTGCCCCAAGGCTCTGTGGGAGCCCCCCACCCCTCCCTCCCACCTTTACGGACGCCAAAGTCTGGGGGTCTGGAGGGGGGGGGGGTCGGTTTGACCTGTTTCACCTCCCAGACTTTTCCAGAAGGAAAAAGGAAGGCCGCTGCCCTTCCCTCCCCCACCCCCTCCAGCCAGGTTGGGGGGGGGGACGACCACAGCATGCCCAACAGACGCTCGCCTCACCTCACAGAAGCGCGGACCCCCCCAAAATAGATTTCTCAGCTCTGTGCCCTCCCCGCCCCACTTCGGCGCGACCTTCGGCCGAGACAGCAGACAAGTGTGTGCGGCGCGCGCGTCTGTGTGTGTGGGAGGGCAGGCAGAGGGGGCGGGGCCTGCCCCGCGCGCGCTGATTGGCTACCGCGTGCCGGGCCTTCCTCCTCCGGCGCCTGCGCGCGCGCTGAGGGGCGCGCCCCGGGGGCGTGGTGGCGGTGGGGCGGGGAGAGGGAAGGTCTCGCGCTGACGTCAGGTTCACGCGAGCGCCCCCGCGGTGTTTTGAAGTTCGCGGCTTCTGGACTGGGTGTTTCCCCTGAAGAGAGACGCTCCGCCTGGACGCTTCCGTCGACGCCCGTGGAGGGAAGCGGTGGAAGGAGTCGGAAGATGACTGGCAGGCAAGGTTTGCCGGAGGACTCCCCGCCCCTCCACTCCCACCCAGAGCGCGCTCCGCCGGCGGCGGCGGCGGCGGGAGTGGTGGGGCGGCGCCGGCCTTGCGCATGCGCGCGGCCTTAGTGAAGAGGCCGCCTTTCTCCCCCCCCCCTCGGCTTACGCGCGAGTGCGCGTGCGCCGGCCCGTGCGCATGCGCGCAGTGTTCCGCCAGCTCTGCTCGGGAGTCGATTTGGGGGCCGGGCTTTGCAGGTCTGTTTGCAGGCACAGTCAGCCGCTTGGTACGTTCATATGAAGTTTTTTTGTGTGTGCCAGTCCTGGGGCTTGAACTCAGGGCCTGAGCACGGTCCCTGAGCTGCTTTTGCTCAAGGCTAGCGCTCTACCACTTGAGCCACAGCGCCACTTCAGGCTTTTTCTGTGTCTGTGGTGCTGAGGAATGGAACCCGGGGCTCCCTGCATGCTAGGCGAGCGCTCTCCCACGGAGCCACCTTCCCAGCCTGAGGCAGTTTTGATCTTTTTTTCTTCTGGTTTTTGTGTGCAGGTACTGGGGCTTGAACTCGGGGCCTGGGCGCTGTCCCTGAGCTGCTTTTGCTCAAGGCTAGCACTCTACCACTTGAGCCACACAGCCCACTTCTGGCTTTTTCTGTGTCTGTGGTGCTGAGGAATGGAACCCAGGGCTTCAGGCATGCTAGGTGAGCACTCTACCGCCGAGCCACATTTCCATCCCCATCCAATATATTTTATTGTTGGGAAACTATTACCTCACTGGAAGTCAATAAAGAACAAAAGCTCAATACAGTGAGTGCTCTTTATTTTTATTGCTTTTTATTTTCAACAATGATTACTGGAACTTAAAAAAAAAACAAACAAACCCACGAAACCAACAACTCAGCCCTTCGATGCCTAACAGTTAGTGAAAAGCCATACCTTCCCAGCCCATTTCATGTTCTCTTTCAGCCACTTCAGGGCTGAACAGTTTTCCAAACTGTAAACTTGCTCCTTGTTCACGTTGACTGTCATGTGCTTAATGAAGAGCTTGGGGTCTGATATGCGGGCGGCTGTTATTAACCTTTCCACTGCAGCCTGGTAGTCATCCTTGCTTCGAGATTTGTTTTCTTCACATCTGTAAAGTGAACACCTCCCAAACTCAGAAACTTATTTTTTGCCAATCCTTGAACTCAGGACCTGGGTGCTGTCCCTGAGCTTCTTTTGCTCAAGGCTAGCACTCTACCTCTTGAGCCACAGCACCATTTCTGGCTTTTTCTGTGTATGTGATGCTGAGGAATTGAACCCAGGGCTTCATGCATGCTAGGCAAGCACTCTTCCACTAAGCCACCATCCCAGCCCTAGAAGCTGTATCTAAAAGGCAGCAAAAGGGTTTCTTCCAGAGTCCTTTGTATTTACTATTTCCACACTATTAGTCTTTTCACCATGTTCTTTTAGCAATGGCTTTTAAGTTTTTTTTTATTCACTTTTAAAATATTTTATGATCGTTCAGGTGTTGTACAGAGGGGTTACCATTGTATAAGTCAGGTAATGAGTATCTTTATGACAATATCACCCTTTTTGCATTTTTTTATGCTTTATGTGTGTGCCAGTCCTCGGGCTCAACTCAGGGCCTGGGTGCTATTCCTGAGCTTTTTTGCTCAAGGATAGCTCTCTACCACTTAGGCCACAGGCTCACTTCTGCCTTTTTTGTGCAATTATAATCAATCTCATGGCCTTTTCTGCCCAGGCCAGCTTTGAACTACAATCATCAGATCTCAGCCTCCAAAGTACCAAGGATTAAAGGCATGAGCCTGTAATTTTAATATATAGAAATGAGCCTGACTGATGCTTTTATTTTCAATAGTTTTTTTTTTTCTTGTCAGTCATGGGGGGTGAACTCTGGGCCTGCACACTGTCCCTCAGCTCTTCAGCTCAAGGTGAGCACTCTACCACTTGAGCGATAGCGCCACTTCTGTCTTTTTCTGCTTATGTGGTGCTGAGGAATTGAACCCAGGGCCTCATGCGTGCAAGGCAAGCGCTCTACCACTGAGTCACCTTCCCAACCCCTCAACAGTATTTTTGAATGAACCTAATAAACTATCCCTTTAGACCTGCTCCTTAGAGCTTTTGGAGTGAGCAAAAAAGATAAAGACCTTTTTAGTACCAAACTACACAAGAAAGGTTGAACATTCAGTAACATATTTGAAGTCATGAAAGTGTTTATTGAATGCCACTTGTTTGGTTTTTATTTCTTAGTAATGTTGGAAATAAAATCCAGGGCCTTACATCCACTAAGCAAATACTCTACCATTGAGTTTATTACCTTAGCATCTTAAATTGTTTGGTTTTAAGCTTCAAATATGTCTCTTTCTCAATGTAAATGTAACCAAGCTTGTAACGTGTACATAAAGTATATATACATATTTATACACACACAATCACATACATAACCTAGGGCAGACATACTCTACCTTCACGGAGTACAGTTAAAGTTATTACTAGGGCTGGGAATGTGGCTTAGTGGTAGAGTGCTTGCCTAGAAAGCATGAAGCCCTGGGTTCGATTCCTCAGCACCACATACACAGAAAATGCCGAAGTGGTGCTGTGTGGCTCTAGTGGTAGAGTGCTAATCTTGAGCTAAAGAGCTGAGAGACAGCACCCATGCCCAGAGTTCAGGCCCCACAACTGACAAGTTATTACCAGGGCTTAGTGGTAGAGTGGATTAGTGGTAGAGTGCTCGCCGAGCATGCATGAAGCCTTGGGTTGATTCTTCAGTACCACATGAACAGAAAAAGCCGAAAGTGGCACTGTATGGCTCAAGTGGTAGAGTGCTAGCCTTGAACAAAAGAAGTTCGGGGACAGAGCCCAGGCCCTGGATTCAAGTCCCAGGACTGGCAAAAAAAAGAAAGAAAGAAAAAAGAAAAAAAGTTATTATCAACAAACCTTTTCAAAACTATCTGTAGCATCTGTGTAGATGGTCCAGGACTTTGAATACTACTAGCGTTAGAGACCAGGAAGATTTCGATAGCTAAAAGCATTTCAATCTCAGATAAATACGATGGAATCAGTAGAAGCTTTCTGTATAAATTTCCCTCTAATGGTGGATAACATCCTAAAGAAAGAGCACCTGAAAATTAAATAACAGGTAAAAGTTTACTAAAACCCCAATAGATATAAACCTAAATTTCCAAAATAGTTATAGTGACCATTTGAGTGAAGAAGAGACAGTGCTCAGGGCCCTGAGTTCAAGCCTCAGGCCTGGCACACACACACACAGTGACTGGAAACAAAAGAGAAATAACATTTTAACAACAACAACAAAAAAAAAAACCAGTTCTATTTATCAACTTATTTTTACACATTTAAAGAATTTTAAAGATGGATCTTGGGAAATAAAATTCAAAACCAATAGATAGCCAATGAAAAACATCTGAAATGGAACGTACTTTTGTAGTGGGTTCTAGCTTTGAGCCATAAACAGCTCCTTCCTAAAGAAGTAATTAATCTTCTGAGGAAGGAGAACTCAATTGGAATACTCTTTGTCATCATGAATTCTGCCACCGAAGATGACATGCCAAGACTGTTGCTTTCTATGCAGGCATCAAGAAGTTTATTAAAAAGAAGGCTGTACTGGGATATCTCCATAGTTTCTGAAATGAAGAAGATGAAAAAAACAACAACTGTTTGGCTTTTTGATCTTGGGAGATTGAACCCAGGATGTTACTAGGCAAGTGCTTTGCCACTAAACTATATCTCAGCCCGGAAAAAAAAAGTGTTTTTTTTATGATTATTATTACTATTTTTTTTGATGGTGGTGGTAAAACCTATGTTGGTCTTTCAATTTTTTTTTTTTCTTTATCCTTTGGCTTCCTTGGCTTTTCTTGTGTGCCAAAGAAGTTACAGCCACTAAAGTGTAATTTTCTTTTTTTTTTTTTTTGGGTCCGGTCGTGGGGCCTGAACTCTGGGCCTGGGCACTGTCCCTCAGCTCTTCAGCTCAAGGCTAGCACTCTACCACTTGAGCCACAGCGCCACTTCCGGCTTTTTTCTTTTTGCTTATGTGGTGCTGAGGAATCGAACCCAGGGCCTTGAGCATGCAAGGCAAGCGCTCTACCACTGAGCCAACTTCCCAGCCCTAAAGTGTAATTTTCTTAATTTTTTTTTTTTTGTCAGTTGTGGGGCTTGAACTCTGGGCCCAGGCGCTGTCCCTGTGCTCTTCAGCTCAAGGCTAGCACTCTATCGCTTGAGCCACAGCGCCGCTTCTGGTTTTCTAGTGGTTTATTGGAGATAAGAGTCTCACGGACTTTCCTGCCCGGGCTGGCTTTGAACCATGATCCTCAGATCTCAGCCTCTGGAGTAGCTAGGATTACAGGCATGAGCCACTGGCACCCGGCTCTTAATGTATTTTCTTTCTGGTTCTTTTTTTTTGGTCCAGTTGTGGGGACTGAACTCTGGGCCTGAGCACTGTCCCTCAGCTCTTCAGCTCAAGGCTAGCGCCTCTACCACTTGAGCCACAGCGCCACTTCCGGCTTTTTTCTTTTTGCTTATGTGGTGCTGAGGAATCGAACCCAGGGCCTCAGGCATGCAAGGCAAGCGCTCTACCACTGAGGCAACTT